GGAACATTGGATAGGAGATAACTGAGGATGGATAAACAACATTGTAGATACTCCACAATACTAACATAAATGACAGAGTGAAATGAAGGAAGCCAGGAAAAAAATATTCAAAAACATGCATCCTGATTTCAATAAGGCACAAAAGTAATACTGCAAAAAATTTGGCAAATAAATGACATTTTTGTCCTGAATACAAAGTGTTATGTTTGGGGCCGTAATCGCTGCCAAAGGTGAATCTAACATGCAATGAATCAGGGGGTTAAATTCTTATCTAATCAAGATATATTAGTATTTTACTTTCCATAAATTAAATGTTTAAAAGAAAGAAAGAGTTTTTGTTTCACTTTGACGCTGAGTGTTTTGTTTAGATTGTTGACAAAAAAATTACAATTAAATTCCATTTTAATCCCATTTTGTAACAACAAAATGTGGAAAAAGTCAAGGGGTGTTAATACTTTCTGAAAGCACTGTATGTCTCCAGCACCAGTCCTTCCATCTTTCACTCTGGCACCTTCCCTCTCCATTTGGCTTCTAGCACCAGCACAAGCTCCCCTCCCAACCCCATGCTCCACAAGACCGGTGTAATCCCCATATCGCTCCTCTCCAAAAGAGGAGATTGCTCTATATTTACCAGGGGTTTGATTTGCTCCCATTCGTTAAGCATGGCACTTGCAGATTAATTATTGAAAATAAAATAAGCCACAAATTTAGCCCATTATTATTTTCAAAATTCTTCAAGCTCTGTCAAAGTGGTTGTTGATCATTTCTAGACAACCATTTTCAGGTCTTGTCATAGACTTTCAAGTAGATTTAAGTCAAAACCGTAACTAGGCCACTCATGAACATTCACTGTCTTCTTGATAAGCAGCTTCAGTGTAGATTTGGCCTTGTGTTTTAGGTTGTTGTCCTGCTGAAAGGTGAATTAATCTCCCAGTGTCTGGTGGAAAGAAGACTGAAGCAGGTTTTCCTCTAGGATGTTGCCTGTGAAAAACTCCCCAGTACTTAACGATTACAAACATACCCATAGCATGATGCAGCCACCACTATGCTTGAACATATGGAGAGTGGAAGTCAGTAATGTGTTGTATTGGATTTGCCCCAAACATAACACTTTGTATTCAGGACAAAAAGTGAATTGTTTTGCCCAATTTTTTGCAGTATAACTTTAGTGCCTTGTTGCAAACAGGATGCATGTTTTGGAAAATGTTAATTTACGTTAGTATTGTGGAGTAACTACAATGTTGTTGATCCATCCTCAGTTTTCTTCTATCACAGCCATTCAACTCTAACTGTTGTAAAGTCACCATTGGCCTCATGGTGAAATCCTTGAGCAGTTTCCTTCCTCTCCGGCAACTGAGTTAGGAAGGATGCCTATATCTTTGTAGTGACTGGCTGTATTGACACACCATCCAAAGTGTAATTAATAACTTCACCATGCTCAAAGGGATATTCAATGTCTGCTTTTAAAATGTTTACCTATCTTACCCAATAGGTGTCGTCTTTGTGAGGTACTGGAAAACATCACTGGTTTTCCAATACCTGCTTGACTGGGGACCTTACAGATGATTGTATGTGTTTATTATTATTTTTATTTTATTTCACCTTTATTTAACCAGGTAAGCCAGTTGTGAACAAGTTCTTATTTATAACTGCGACCTGGCCAAGATAAAGCAAAGCAGTGCGATAAAAACAACAACACAGAGTTACATATGGGGTAAAACAAAACATAAAGTCAAAAATACAACAGAAAATATATATACAGTGTGTGCAAATGTAGCAAGTTATGGAGGTAAGGCAATAAATAGGCTATTGTGGAAAATAATTACAATTAGTATTAACACTGGAATGATAGATGTGCAAGAGATGATGTCCAAATAGAGATACTGGGGTGCAAATGAACAAAATAAATAACAATATGGGGATGAGGTAGTTGGGTGGGCTAATTTCAGATGGGCTGTGTACAGGTGCAGTGATCGGTAAGGTGCTCTGACAACTGATGCTTAAAGTTAGTGAGGGAGATAAGAGTCTCCAGCTTCAGAGATTTTTGCAATTTGTTCCAGTCATTGGCAGCAGAGAACTGGAAGGAATGGCGGCCAAAGGAGGTGTTGGCTTTGGGGATGACCAGTGAGATATACCTGCTGGAGTGCATACTACGGGTGGGTGTTGCTATGGTGACCAATGAGCTAAGATAAGGCGGTGATTTGCCTAGCAGTGATTTATAGATGGCCTGGAGCCAGTGGGTTTGGCGACGAATATGTAGTGAGGACCAGCCAACAAGAGCGTACAGGTCACAGTGGTAGGTAGTATATGGGGCTTTGGTGACAAAACGGATGGCACTGTGATAGACTACATCCAATTTGCTGAGTAGAGTGTTGGAGGCTATTTTGTAAATGACATCGCCGAAGTCAAGGATCGGTAGGATAGTCAGTTTTACGAGGGCATGTTTGGCAGCATGAGTGAAGGAGGCTTTGTTGCGAAATAGGAAGCCGATTCTAGATTTAACATTGGATTGGAGATTCTTAATGTGAGTCTGGAAGGAGAGTTTACAGTCTAAGCAGACACCTAGGTATTTGTAGTTGTCCACATACTCTAGGTCAGACCCGTCGAGAGTAGTGATTCTAGTCGGGTGGGCGGGTGCCAGCAGCATTCGACTGAAGAGCATGCATTTAGTTTTACTAGTGTTTAAGAGCAGTTGGAGGCTACTGAAGGAGTGTTGTATGGCATTGAAGCTCGTTTGGAGGTTTGTTAACACAGTGTCCAATGAAGGGCCAGATGTATACAAAATGGTGTCGTCTGCGTAGAGGTGGATCTGAGAGTCACCAGCAGCAAGAGCGACATCATTGATATACACTGAGAAAAGAGACGGCCCAAAAATGTAACCCTGTGGCACCCCCATAGAGACTGCCATAGGTCCAGACAACAGGCCCTCCGATTTGACACATTGAACTCTATGTGTGGGGTGCAAAGATGAGGTAGTCATTAAAAAACCATGTTAAACACTATTATAGCACACAGTGTGAGTCAATGCTTATTATGTGACATGTTGAGCACATTTTTACTCCTGAATTTATTTAGGCTTGTCATAACAAAGGGGTTGAATACTTATTGACTCAAGAAATTTCAACTTTCATTTGTAATTAATATGCTAAAAGCAATATGAAAAACATAATTCTACTTTGACATTATTGGGTATTGTTTGTAGGCCAGTGACAAAAATCTCAATTTAATACATTTTAAATTCAGGCTGTAACACAACAAAATGTGAAGGGGTACTTTTTGAAGGCACTGTAGCACATTTGAAACCAATGTCCCCGTTCTGCTGGAATATTGGCATAGGCATGTCTCTGTTGCACGTCCCTTTGATCAGGAAGCCATCATATACACCTATGGACAAGTTTTGCTCCATCACCTGATTTGGCCCGACAGCGAGTGCGAGTGCGAGTGTGAGTGACGATGGTGGCCAACTTCCTCCCCCCCTGGATCCCAATAGCGATATATTCATCAAAACCCAAAATGATTTTACGGGATCCCTTTAATCTAAAATTAAAGACATACCATTTCCCAACCAGCCAATTTAATCTGGAACATAAAAAGATATGCAGGTTCAAAGTGGATAATCCGAAAATGGATATATTGATGATGAATTGAGGCCGAGCTGGATATAGAACCTTGAGTCAGACCGACCGACCTCACCTCGCAAAGCCTGGTGATGTATGTGGAACTTTATATGTCTTTCTCATGAAGTAGAGAAGGAGAGAGAGCAGTGGGGAAAGTATTTTTAAAAGCATATCTTTAATAAGTGCATCCATTTTTTATGACCATTTGTAGTGATCCTTTTGGAGAGAGCTGTGGCGTCAGTAGTGGGGAGAAGACACAGACAGGAGTGCTGAGGTGGACTTTGCTGTACTCGCTGCTTAATGTGTTTTCTATTTCTCACTTTCTCCAACAAGATGAGGATTGCATTATTCATACCAGCCGAGTGAGCAGCATCTTGTCTATGGTAAATTCTTATTCCTTCTCTCTATTTTTTGTAAAATGTTTTATTTCTGTGAAAAGTCTGACACAGCAGCAAATTGATCACTGTCATTGCCGTCAGAGAAGCCACTGCGGTCTCCATCCTTTTTCCTGTGATTGACACATTTACACTGCCGAGGCAGGCTGCCATTTGAATAATTACCTACAACTACAGAATATTAGATCTGTTCTGATATGACCCTGGCACTTTGCTCACAGTGGTTACAGTCAGACAGAGGCAGAGAGAAAGAGAGAGAGAAACAGAGCAAGACAGATAGAGACACAGAGACAGAGAGAGAGCGAGAGATGCCTTGAGAGGACATGTGAATCTTTAATTAAAGGATTACATGTATTTTTATCATCAATTGCAGGTCCAACCGAAACATGACTTTTGCTTTTAACCCAACCCCTCTGAATCAGAGTGGTGCGGGGGGCTGCCACATTAGGTGCCCGGGGAGCTGTCGTTGTGGTGGGTTAACTGCCTTGCTCAAGGGCAGAATGACATATTTTCTGGGATTTGAACTGGCAACCTTTCGGTTACTGGCCCAACGATCTAACCACTTGGCCATCTGCCAAAGTAATGTTTAATGCTTGCATGCCTTCTGACCTCTCAGTGCTACACCTTCAGGATATAAAAGCATGTATGGGAGATGGTAGATTGCAGGAAGTAGTTTTACATCTGAAAGGATTGTAGCACACTGTAATCTACAGATGTCAGTGGCATGTTTTGTTATCTGGCCTAACTCGAATATGGTGTCAAGGAGAGGACATCTGAGGTTTCTATGTTGATAATGCAGAAATACCGCATCAGCGCTACACAGTAAAGTAAAGTATATCCCCTATAGAACTACATACAGTATAGAGTAGAAACTGTTTAATGTCAACATTTTAGCCTTATGCCTTTCTCAAGACCAGTCTTGTGGAAATGCAGTCTTCATGTGAAAGCAGTGAGAAGGGACATGGGTGTTTGTGGGCAGAACTCACCTGATGTAGTAGTCATTCCTGATGAGCAGGAGGTGCTGTAGGATGGACAGGAAGTAGGTCTCCGATCCAGTGTCTTTCACCATGTTAGACAGGAGATGGTATACCTCACCCATATCAGTGAGAAGGGGGTTAAGGTATGTAACATCATTGGTAGTTTTGCTTGTACAGTATGAGTGAAAATATACTAGGCATTATACAGACTTTTTAAGAGAAAAAGATACTGGAGATTTAATACAGGGAAAACATACAGCAGTACAATCTATGTGCCCTTTCTAACCAATTCCATTATTAGCTTTCACTACCTCTCCTCATAGAAATCTAATAATATAGTGACAGTGCATTCTAAAATACATCTGAATAATTTCGATAGATCCTCGATTCACAGTGTTTGTTTTACAATTTTCCCCTCAATCAAGTACTCAGACAGGCGTCATTGTGTACAAGCAAACACCTGCGATGATTCCTCACATCCGTTTTCCCATCGGGGAGCTGCAGAAGAGTAAACAGCTAACTTGAGGAGGGGAATTGGCAATAAAGAATGGTCCCTGTGGTCTACCTGTCACTCGAAGCCTTTCAAGGAGGAGGAAATTAATCACATGAAAACTCCATTGGGTTTGAATATTTTAAGGGAGAATCATGAAAAAGGGATCAGTCACTGTGGAAAATATTGCTGAAATTCACGACTGTGCCTTGTCTTGTCCATCGAAGAGAAAAGATGTGTTCTTAAACTTGCAAAGGGTATTGATTATGCGTCGGACAACTCGGCTCCTCAAGGAGCGTGAGCGATGGCTTTTGATGTCTAAAATAGTTGTTGAATCAGATAAGAAATAATTTTCTGTTTTTTTCTAAAAGTGGTGTCTTTTTTTTTATGTATGTTTCTCTGAGTTGGATTGCTGGCTATTTGTTTTCCAAAACAAACAGGAATTGTCAGAGGCTGCGAAATGGAGCACTTGGCACATCTCACAGTTGATTTGTATGGAATTGAAACCATAAGGAGCAACGTTCAAATCAAGGCGAAAGTTATTCTACAAATAATATCCAAGTGGGATTTCAGAATAATATCATGATCAAATTACAGTCTATTGTATATCATTTGTGTTTATGAGGAATATTCACATGGGATTTTAATCTATAGCCAGATTACATTTGATCTTGTTTGAACTACCAACAAAAAACTGTAAAAGATTTAGAGAAATAAATAGCCTGAGGGGGTTATGCATAACTGCTTGCTTGAGAAAGGATCCTCCCATGGATAGTCATCTTGTTTGAAAATCATGAAAAAAAAGCCCTATTTGAAATATGTGCACACATGCAGAAAACAAGGAAATAGAGTGAGGGGGAAAAGTGCAGTGTTAAACTGAGAGGGATGAAAAATGTATTGCCATCATAATTTGTAATGTGCATTTTAAATGAATGAAATATTTACGTGCTGACTGCGGTGTGATACACTGTCTGGGTTGAAACACTTTCACAGTCAGTGACTCTGAGTTCATTCACATTTGTCTGTGGTCAGCCAGCAGTAAATAAAGCCATCTGATTTGTGTAATTTTTTTGCCCTGAGGGCTTAAAAGGAGGGACCAAGTACCTGCTTTTCTCAGATTAGGGGAGAGGACATGGTTGCACGAGCTTAGTTTCGGGGTTTTTAGCTACATGAATAGGCCATGTCAAAGTTGTGCGGCCCGTCAAAGTTGTTTAAAGCAAATGATTCATTGAGCATTGATCACCTCTGAAAAGTTTACTTTAGCATGAATGAACATCACCTGACAATCAGTGCAAAGACTTGACACGCAAAATGACAGAACACTGCATCATGCTTTCTAACTGTTCTCACTATTTCATACACGACATGATCCATCCACCGCCGTCAGTGCAAATCAATCCTTTTTAACACTGTTTGACATTTTCGTATTCACTTCCGCCACAATTGTAATTAAAATGGTTCTCCCATTTCAAATTTGGCGAGCGCAGGGGTTGGGAATACAAGCTTCTCTGAAGTATCGTTTCCCACTCCTGTATTAGCCTGGATGAAGTCGATGAGAATTACTAAGCCGGTGAGATGCAATTATAGGCTCACCACACTGCTATTTGAGGGGGGACGTAAGTATTGAAGAAGCCCGGACTTGGAAAGTGTCCAAGCAGCTACATCTATCAGTAAGCAGCAGACATGAACAAAGCTCGACCTACAGAACAATGCAAATCCACACACAGTTATTTTTATCTCCCTCGCTCTCTTTCTCTCGCTACATTTGACTTCTACTCATGTTGCGGAGCTGGGGATCATGAATAAAAATTAGCAGCATTGGAGGTGAGATGTGGACCAGTCAGTGGTAGGGTCAATCAATCACTATTCCATAGCATCATTAATATTCATTAGTGGCCCGGAGTCAGCTCCTCAGCACCCGTACCTGGGCCGGACACAGAGGACACGCGTCTCTCTGTGTTAATATTCATGAGGCAGGCAGGGAAAACAAGCTACAGAGGAGGCAGCCGGGAATGTGTGTTTGTGTGTGTGCATGTGTGGGTGTATGTGTGCATGTGTGGGTGTATGTGTGCATGTGTGGGTGTATGTGTGCATGTTTGTGTGTGTCAGAGACTAGAGCTAGCATGCACATCATGAACACTATTCACAGATCAATACCACATTGTCCTTGGAAACAAACATTGGGCCCCATAATTTGTGAACCTGCTCAAGCACATCATTAATCCAGGTGCAGTGTCCGTTTTTCCCGCTCTCTCTCTTTCTCTCCCTCTCGGAACGTCAACAGTAACTGTCACTCAGCACAGCACTCAGTGGCAGATTTTCGAGCACTGTGGGATTTGGGGAGACAAAGGTTGGCAGAGAGAACATCTGTATAACAGTATCTGGCCCTGCACTGTCTGCCTATCATGTCAGTGTTTCACACATCCAAATGCCCTTAGAGAAGCTTCTTGAATTATTAGGCACCTAGCCAAATATGCTTTAAAACAAGTCTCAAACTCAAGACCCAATTAGGGCTCACTGTTAACCACTCAAAAAGTTTCCAGTTGAGCGGACCTAGAGGGACGACTTGGAGAAACCAACTTGTCATATGTAACTAAACGGAAAAGAAGAAAGGTAAGTTAATTGCTCAAATGGAAACAGGTGTGATTAACCAGACAAAACAAAGAGGTCACTGAAGATTGACCTCGGTGTACCAGCCAAAGCAACGGCACTAAAACATTGATCTACTGTACCATAACAATAGACTTAAAAGAGATAGCCATACAATAAACAGAATTTGTTCTGAAGACAAAACAACTGGTAGTGATTGACAGCCGCCTCCCGTGTCTTGCATCATCCAGGTAAGATCTAGACGGCTGAGAGATGATGAATGGTGATGAGAGGGCGAGAAGAACTGAGGCAAGAAAAGGCGAGAAGAGATTGTTTACCAGGTTTACCAGGCAAGAGATAGGTCTGGGAGATTGCATAGATTCTCAAATTCTTCTCTAATGAACCCGACCATGCTGGCTTTAGACATGTAAGCCTGACAAGGCCGACACAATATACTCATTTCCAGCAGCCCTTTTCCATGGACGGTGCTGTGGCACAGGCAGACAAAAGGATATTCCATCTCAGCGCGGATGTCATCAAGGCGATGGGAGAGCTCAATGGAGTCCTCCTCCTTGTTCTCGTTGAACACCTTCAGTTGGATGTCCAGCTCCTCAGTCTCTTTCATCTCCTGTAATTCAGAGAGACATGAATAGACTGTGGCAATAGACAAGACGACTCAATACTTCATTATCGGTTGTTCCAAGGGAATGGAAAATATTGGGCTGTGTTGTATTGTAATGTGATTTAATGAGATTAATGGATAGACAACAGAGCATTGGATGCATATGCAGTACCGTACAGATTAACTTATATATAGTGTTTTCAGTACTACATAAACCAAACCCAACTTCATTGTACTAGCTATAATGGTTCTAGGGGTGTGAACATTTAATAATTAAACTGTTTAACCAAAATTGGGATCCTTCACGTTAAGAAAAATCCCAAAGCGAAAAACAATGCTTTTTTTACGTAGCAGAAAGTAAACAGCATAGAGGGTCAATATCCACAACAGTGATGCATCTCGCTCATCTCAATATCATAGACTATTCATTGATGATAGGCCCTGCTTTACTGAAGTTGCGAGACATATATTTTTTTAACGTCATTTTAGCAGACGCTAATCGATATAATCTTGACAATCAGAAATTGGAGTCGACACCGGGAGTCGACGTACAAGGAGTCAAGGAATCAATTATTTTAGAGTCGACTTTCCACCACTACGTCATCATCGTTAACAGTTGGAAAAATGGCAGAGAAAGGCAAGCAACAGCAGTAAAGTAATGTATGGCAATACTTTGAGAAGTTAAATGAGAAGGAAATGCAAACTTTGCGAGGTGGAATTGAGGTACAGTAATGGTAGTACAGGTGCCATGCCTAACCATCTGAAAGGGATGCACCGTGAGACCCAAACTGTTGCTGGCAGCAGTGCAGCTGCATTGTGAATTCATGTGGATTCTATTTTTTATTTTAATATTTTTTATCCCCTTTTTGTGATATTACGATCTTGTCTCATCGCTGCAACTCCTCAATGGACTCGGGAGAGGCGAAGGTTGAGTCATGAGTCCTCAGAAACATGACCCGCCAAACCGCGCTTCTTAACACCCACTCGCTTAGCCCGGAAGCCAGTCGCACCAATGTGTCGGAGGAAACGTAGTCAGCCTGCAGGCGCCCGGCCCGCTACAAGGAGTTGCTAGAGCACGATGAGCCAAGTAAAGCCCCCCCGGCCAAACCCTCCCCTAACCCGGACGACGCTGGGCCAATTGTGCGCCACCCTATCGGACTCCCTGTCACGGCCGGTTGTGACACAGCCCGGGATCGAACCCCAGGTTGTAGTGACACCGCAACACTGCGATGCAGTGCCTTAGACCACTGCGCCACTCGGGAGGCCCTGAATATTTATAGTGTTAACGGAAAAACATTACAAAATATACAATAATTTAAACATTTATCACATCCCTAACTGGTTCCATTACCGGAGACCATTGTTGATGGTTGCCATGTCACAGCTGTATGGGAACTAGGATCTAGGATACCCATCCTTCCCTTCCCTGCCGACCTGGTATACCTGAATCACCCAGCTCTCCATACCTGCACACTCCACAAGGTGCACTTTACAACTTTCCTATGAATCATCAGAGTTGGAGATTACAGATGACACCATGCCAAATGTAACCCTATTTCTGCAGCTATCAATCACCTCACTGCTCTTCGGGCATGCCATCTGTCTTCGGAAACGACAGTTCAGAGAGGGAGGCAGCACGCAATGCCACAGACATAAGGGGACTCAAGGACTGTGGGCCAATAGCAACACCCCTGTACTTCATCATGAACCTGGTTCACTTTTGTTTTCCTCTTGGTCACTTGACTATATTGGCTCCACAACATAATTGACAATAATAATTCACAATTAGTGGGCCCTGTGTCAGTTTAAATGCTTGCAATAAAGCTTCAAATGTGGCATTTGTAAATGATTGTAAAGGAAACTCATATCAGAGGGCAGAGAGGAAGATAATTGAACTAATGACAGCAATAATCAAGTGGAGCAGTCAGGATGACTTATTAACAAGTGGCAAATTCCCCTCTGCAAATTAGGTCATGAGTGATGAGTGGATGCTTATTTGTCTTAACCGAGTGCAAGGATCTGACTGCTGATTGATGATGCGCAGAGCGAGTTGTGATCAGTGAGGTGGTGCCACGCGGTGAGGTGAGCTAGAACGCTCCAATATAATAATGGGAGCAATTTACATACAGTATACAAATGTATAAAGGGATGTGCATTTGTTACTCTTACCTTCCTGTAATGGCCCAGAAAAATCAGGGGTGTCAAACATACGACATGTGAGGGGTCCAATCCAGCCCGCGAGAAGTTTGAGTCAAAACTATTTTGTGGTGGGGGAATGCACTCAATATACTTTAATATTACTAAAACCAAATCGAAACTGTGTAGAAATGATAATGGACCTACATTCATACAGTTTATTGACTGTGTCCAGCTCGCAAATAATCAACCAAATGAAAGTGATGGATAGAGAACTATTTTTTGCAAATTGTGACGACAAGGAAATCTAACCAATTTTCAGGGCGGCTCACCGGTAGGATCTTCTTGAGGCCACAACGGAGGAACTCGTTGCGCAGATGTATCCTGAAGTCCAGATCGTCCGGAGAAGTGACCAGGGCGTTGATCAGCTGCATGCAGGCCACCTGTTGTTCAGCACACACATGCCAGAGAGACCGTTAGAGAGAACACATTTAAGGCATTCATTCTACTGAACATTAAATTATATGGTGATTTATCATGCTTGGCCTCTGTGTACGGTATCAATCTATTTTATGATGTAGCAGGCACTCTTGAGTTACAAGACCTTGGAGAGAGTACGTGTGAAAACATGTATGTTTATACATTTTCCCAAAGATGAGAGGAAAGAGGAGAGCAAAGAGATGAAAGAGGGAAGAGGAGAGATAGACCATAGTCTGAGTCTGGTGTAGAGGGAGCAAAAAGGAAGTAGAGGGTAAGAGGAAGTCGAAAAGAAAATAAATCTGGGGAGTCCTTTGACCAGATGTGCATTTTTAATTGATTTATTTGATTAGGGAAGAGACGAGGGATGGAGGGATGGGAGGAAGGGGGCAAAGGGAAAACGCTGATGGACCTTAACGGGCTATAAGGCGGCTCTGGGGAGAAGACAGAGTGCTCCTCCGACAGGCAAACTTATCAGGAGCTGAAGGATCTCCGTGAACGACATGTGAAAAGTAGTCTTTCGAAAACCTCTATCGGCACGTTTGTGTTGGCCCGCATCTTTTATTAACGGTCCATAGAGAATGCTGTCCCTGGGCTGTTTTTCACACTGATTCCTCCTGTAAGTGTTTTTCCTGGAGAGACTCATACAGACACACACATGTACACGTTTGCACACACACATGCATGCGCACACACACACACACAGACACACACATACTCTAGCCCAAATAATGCCCTCTGAGAACATGGCTAGAGGGAATTTGGCTGGCGATGGGGAATAAGAGCCATATGGAATGAACAGCATTGGTTTGTTTTTGGTGTGTTTTTCCCCCTTCTATAGCCGGGGGACAGAGGAATCGAACAGGTTTGTATTAATCCAGTGGAGTGACGGCACACAGTGTTATGGTTTATGGGTACGTGTCGGTGCTAATGGGGACTCTTTATACAGACATATGTGCTAGGCCTGCCGCGCCCCGGGAAAGCAGTGTGCTTGAAGGGATACTTCGGGATTTTGGCAATGAGGCTCTTTATCTATTTCCCCAGAGTCAGATTAACTTGTGTATACCATTTTTATGTCTCTGTGTCGTTTCGTGAGTCAATGCTAAGTAGCATTAGAGCAATGACTGGATTTGGGTAAATGCTAGTATGTAAGTAGATACCCATAGACTTCCAGTCATTGTGCTAATGCTAGTTAGCATTGGCTCAAAAAACTACCTCTAACTTCCTTCATACTGGACACAGAGACATAAAAATGGTTTCCACTAGTTCATCTGACTCTGGGGAAGTAGATAAAGAGCCTCATTGCCAAAATCCCGAAGTATCCCTTTAAGGAGAACTCCAAGGCTGTTCTGTGCTGCTGGTGGGGTGGAAGGGGAGGTGACAGTGGCTTTGAGAGCATGCCAATGGTGCCAGGCAGCAGCAACATAGCAGACCTCTAAATTATCCAATAGGGCCTCCAGAGCCTTGGACCAAGAACTGGGCATCCAAGCCTGAAGTCTACCCACCAGGGACACTACACTAGAAGCCTCCCTGTAACTAGCTTCACTCCCATCACTTTACTTCCATCTTTAGCCTTTCAAAAGCAAGAGAGCTATTTCGAGAGATTTTGTCTGGCTCAGTGGCTGGGCCCATACTTCTCTACCTCTACGTGTAGATGTGTCCTCCTTTCATACAAAGCAGACACACCTCGACCATGTTTGTTGTGTGGAATTGGTTCAGGGAGGGTTATTGTTGTGCTTGTTTCCGGGGTTGGTGACAATGCGAGCGGGAGCTCAGGCGTCATGTGAGCCGTGCTTACAGTAGGAGGTTTCTGTCAGTGTAATTAAAAGTGGGACTGCTGGGATGGTTTAAAGTTGGGATGCAGGCTGGCTTTCTCTCTGCAGCGGAGTGAGCAAAGCCCGAACCGCGGCAAAACCAATTTTAATCACATTAACAAAGTCATGATCCACAGCACCATCGGAAGGTTTTAAAAAAGTATTATAATTTATTTTAATTCTGCATCAGCATGGTAGTTTAATTGACTTCACAATTAGCGGTGGCTCTTTTCATTCGCAGCATTTTTAGGAATGAGGAAAACAACCAAAGGGATTTCTACTTCCCTTCCCCCCATCCCTCCTTCCCATAGATCCACCCCTCTGCACATTACAAATGATTTCACAAATTATTAAATTATTTGTTCCTCAAAACATTTAGAGTGCAGAAAAGTGCCAGAGAAAGAAACAGTGAAGGAAAAACGCAGAAGTAAAGACAGGTGTATTGATGTATGGTTGCCCTTTTCCTCTGGGTCCTCTGAGACCCGCCTCGACAACACTGAGAAAAAGCTGAAAAACATTTATTACGAGGATGGGAAAAAAACATCTCAGAAAGTCAACATCTCTCTTCTGGTCTCGTGTTATTTTTTGGAGTCCTTTTTCGGAGTAGGGCTTCTCTAGTGATGCAGGTGATGATTATTAGGGCAGGAGAGAGAACCTTCGGCGCATTTTAATAGCCCACGGTCGACTCCGCGTCAAACACCGTCTCCAAGCCGAGAGGCCATTTTTGTGAATGACACTGACTAGAGTCGAGTTCTGTCCATTGCACATGGCATGGCAGACTTGGGTGATTTGACTGTATTATGTGGAATGTGCATAGACAGTGGGGGAGAACAAGTATTTGATACACTGCCGATTTTGCAGGTTTTCCTACTTACAAAGCATGTAGAGGTCTGTAATTTGTATCATAGGTACACTTCAACTGTGAGAGACGGAATCTAAAACAAAAATCCAGAAAATCACATTGTATGATTTTTAAGTAATTAATCTTCATTTTATTGCATGACATAAGTATTTGATCACCTACCAACTAGTAAGAATTCCGGCTCTCACAGACCTGTTAGTTTATCTTTAAGAAGCCCTCCTGTTCTCCACTCATTACCTGTATTAACTGCACCTGTTTGAACTCGTTATCTGTATAAAAGACACTCAATCAAAAAGACTCCAACCTCTCCACAATGGCCAAGGCCAGAGAGCTGTGTAAGGACATCAGGGATAAAATTGTAGACTTGCACAAGGCTGGGATGGGCTACAGGACAATAGGCAAACAGCTTGGTGAGAAGGCAACAACTGTTGGCACAATTATTAGAAAATTGAAGAAGTTCAAGATGACGGTCAATCACCCTTGGTCTGGGGCTCCATGCAAGATCTCACCTCGTGGGGCATCAATGATCATGAGGAAGGTGAGGGATCAGCCCAGAACTACACGGCAGGACCTGGTCAATGACCTGAAGAGAGCTGGGACCACAGTCTCAAAGAAAACCATTAGTAACACACTACACCGTGATGGATTAAAATCCTGCAGCGCACGCAAGGTCCACCTGCTCAAGCCAGCGCATGTCCAGGCCCGTCTGAAGTTTGCCAATGACCATCTGGATGATCCAGAGGAGGAATGGGAGAAGGTAATGTGGTCTGATGAGACAAAAATAGAGCTTTTTGGTCTAAACTCCACTCGCCGTGTTTGGAGGAAGAAGAAGGATGAGTACAACCCCAAGAACACCATCCCAACCGTGGGTCGTGGCTGGGTCTTCCAGCATGACAACGACCCGAAACACACAGCCAGGGCAACTAAGGAGTGGCTCCGTAAGAAGCATCTCAAGGTCCTGGAGTGGCCTAGCCAGTCTCCAGACCTGAACCCAATAGAAAATATTTGGAGGGAGCTGAAAGTCCGTATTGCCCAGCGACAGCCCCGAAACCTAAAGGATCTGGAGAAGGTCTGTATGGAGGAGTGGGCCAAAATCCCTGCTGCAGTGTGTGCAAACCTGGTCAAGACCTACAGGAAATGTATGATCTCTGTAATTGCAAACAAAGGTTTCTGTACCAAATATTAAGTTCTGCTTTTCTGATGTATCAAATACTTATGTCATGCAATAAAATGCAAATGAATTACTTAAAAATCATACAATGTGATTTTCTGGAATTTTGTTTTAGATTCCGTCTCTCACAGTTGAAGTGTACCTATGATAAAAATTACAGACCTCTACATGCTTTGTAAGTAGGAAAACCTGCAAAATTGGCAGTGTATCAAATACTTGTTCTCCCCACTGTATGTGAGTTTTAAAAAGGTGTTTCTTTCCACAACTTGTCTAAAAGGTCTACAGGTTAAGGTCATGGATAAAACTTAGAAGAGTTGCTAAACTTGCAAAGTTTGTGAATTAATCTATGAAAGCAGAATAATGTTGAATGACTCAAATCCAAGCAGGCTACAGTGGGGAAAAAAAGTATTTAGTCAGCCACCAATTGTGCAAGTTCTCCCACTTAAAAAGATGAGAGAGGCCTGTAATTTTCATCATAGGTACACGTCAACTATGACAGACAAATTTAGGAAAATAATTCCAGAAAATAACATTGTAGGATTTTTTATGAATGTATTTATAAATTATGGTGGAAAATCAGTATTTGGTCACCTACAAACAAGCAAGATTTCTGGCTCTCACAGACCTGTAACTTCTTCTTTAAGAGGCTCCTCTGTCCTCCAATCGTTACCTGTATTAATGGCACCTGTTTGAACTTGTTATCAGTATAAAAGACACATGTCCACAACCTCAAACAGTCACACTCCAAACTCCACTATGGCCAAGACCAAAGAGCTGTCAAAGGACACAAGAAACAAAATTGTAGACCTGCACCAGGCTGGGAAGACTGAATCTGCAATAGGTAAGCAGCTTGGTTTGAAGAAATCAACTGTGGGAGCAATTATTAGGAAATGGAAGACATACAAGACCACTGATAATCTCCCTCGATCTGGGGCTCCACGCAAGATCTCACCCCGTGGGGTCAAAATGATCACAAAAACGGTGAGCAAAAATCCCAGAACCACACGGGGGGACCTAGTGAATGACCTGCAGAGAGCTGGGACCAAAGTAACAAAGCCTACCATCAGTAACACACTACGCCGCCAGGGACTCAAATCCTGCAGTGCGAGACGTGTCCCCCTGCTTAAGCCAGTACATGTCCAGGCCCGTCTGAAGTTTGCTAGACTGCATTTGGATGATCCAGAAGAGGATTGGGAGAATGTCATATGGTCAGATGAAACCAAAATATAACTTTTTGGTAAAAACTCAACTTGTCGTGTTTGGAGGACAAAGAAGGCTGAGTTGCATCCAAAGAACACCATACCTACTGTGAAGCATGGGGGTGGAAACATCATGCTTTGGGGCTGTTTTTCTGCAAAGGGACCAGGACGACTGATCCGTGTAAAGGAAAGAATGAATGGGGCCATGTATCGTGAGATTTTGAGTGAAAACCTCCTTCCATCAGCAAGGGCATTGAAGATGAGACGTGGCTGGGTCTTTCAGCATGACAATGATCCCAAACACACCGCCCGGGCAACGAAGGAGTGGCTTCGTAAGTAGCATTTCAAGGTCCTGGAGTGGCCTAGCCAGTCTCCAGATCTCAACCCCATAGAAAATCTTTGGAGGGAGTTGAAAGTCTGTGTTGCCCAGCGACAGCCCCAAAACATCACTGCTCTAGAGGAGATCTGCATGGAGGAATGGGCCAAAATACCAGCAACAGTGTGTGAAAACCTTGTGAAGACTTACAGAAAACGTTTGACCTGTGTCATTGCCAACAAAGGGTATATAACAAAGTATTGAGAAACTTTTGTTATTGACCAAATACTTATTTTCCACCATAATTTGCAAATAAATTCATTAAAAATCCTACAATGTGATTATCTGGATTTTCTTTTCTCATTTTGTCTGTCATAGTTGACGTGTACCTATGATGAAAATTACAGGCCTCTCTCATCTTTTTAAGTGGGAGAACTTGCACAATTGGTGGCTGACTAAATACTTTTTTCCCCCACTGTAGCATTGAAATAATACAGGCATTGCACCATGTGCTACTCTGTAAGGGGCAGGTTGAAAGAGTGTTGTGAATTGAAGTGGATATGTATGAGATGGGTTCAAAGGGAAAGATGTGAGAAAGGGGTGCATGACTCAATGTGTGTACGTGTGTGTGTGTGTGTGTATGTTATATGTGTGCAATGTGTGTGTCTGTATCCAATAGGGGTTGTATATACTGACCTGGAGCTGTTGGGCCTCGTGATTCTCCAGTCCCTCCACTATCGGAGCGAATCTCTCCTTGTTATTCCTCTCTGCCGCAATCGTCATGGCAGCCAGGATCTTATCCAGGCTGAGAGAAAACAAACAGACAAAAAAGTCAACAAGCGCCTTTATCGCCCCACCGACAGGACATTTAAGATAAGATCATTTTCACCTCAACCCAATATATCATCTTGTCTCTTCCTTTGTCTTTGTCAGGGGCATTATGTGGGGACCCAAGACAAATTTGAGTCGTTGTTGGCAACACTGTGCATTATAGGTATCCAATTTAGCCACTAATGTTCATTGCTCTGGTGATGCTCAGAAAAAGCCTGTGTAGCTGATATCATCCATAGTAAAACCTATTCATAATAAAATGTAGTTGGCAATGCCAGGGCAGGAGCAATTTATTGCAGGGAGAAGAGTACAGAACTAACGTATACAAACACCTAGTATATTTTTGCAGTGGTCTCTTAATTTTTTCCAGAGATGTATATACAGTGGGGAGAACAAGTATTGAATAGACTGCCGATTTTGCAGTTTTTCCTACTTACAAAGCATGTAGATGTCTGTAATTCTTATCATAGGTACACTTCAACTGTGAGAGACAGAATCTAAA